AGAGGAAAACTTTTTCTCTCGGTAACGTTGCTGAAGATAGAGACGGCCTTGCAGCGTATACTTTCCACTGCGAAATGAAACCCGTTGCATTTGCATCGATAACGCCTGGAGACCGCGGCCACCGCTCGAAAGATCCCCTTTCTCGGCACCCAGAACCATACACTGGCACTGCTGCATCTTTTGCCTTTCCTTAAATTCAATCGCATTGCCACGGCGTTCACGTGCCACGATGCACTCGGATCGTATTACACGAAACCAAGACGGGAGAAGAGGAGAGAAGAGAAGAGAAGAGAAGAGAAGAGAAGAGGAAATTCGCCCTCGTCTCGATTCGTCTCCTCTCGTCGCCTGCCGCTTCGCTCCTCCGTTCTGCGCTCTCCACTCGACTCGCGTTTTCAAACTTTGAGAAAAACCGCCACGGGAAACGAAGCGGATAGACGAAGCTACGGTTTCTAGATCGAAAAACTTTTTCCGCGTTCTGCTACCGTGAAATTTAGGCTTCGCTTCCAGCATCGTCGAAAATCCGAGGAAATACTCGACGCGCCGTTTCCACGTCGACGAACAATTTCCTCCGCGAATTTGTCAAACGCGAACAATTGCCGTTTCTTTCTCCAATTCTTTCCAACGAACGGTATAGGTAAGTAACTGCTGTGTGTACAGTCGACAGCGTTCGCCGGTTGCGATGAACGCAACGGAACGGAAGAAAGGACGAGTCCGTTGGTCCCGTGGTCGTCGACTGGAGCCCGGACCAAGCAAAAAAATCATCGAGCTATTCGTGTTTGTATTCAATGTTGCTCGAGAACCGTAATCAGCAGAGACTGGCCAGTCGTCAATTTGGTGCTATGCTTCGACCAGTCCCATACTAGGAATTACATACTCGCTCTTCGAAAATCGTCTTAACGAATTCCGTGAAGGAGCAGAGTCGAGAGAAGCCAGCAAGAATGGTGCGTCCCTTTGCCGATGTGAAATTACAGTTCTGTTTCTCTGGCTTGTCATTATCCGAGTCCCGAGGCCCTCCGAGCCAACGCAGACGCGTATACGTGCCCTCCAACTTTCCCCAGGATGCGACGTCCGTGCAATTGCGATTTCTTTTCTATCCTTCCCTCTCGTCGCCCTTCCTTTTCACGTTTCAACCTCTCAACCATCACTTTGCCACCTTCTCTTACGAATCTTGGAAAAATTCTAGCTACGAGCTTCGATTCGGATTCGCAAATAACGACGAGGAGGAAAGCATCAACGCCAACGCATGAAAGACAGGGCAACACCCTGTCCATGGTCACGATTACACACTCTCGAAACGTTACTATACGAAGAATAGCTACAACAGTCGAAAGGAAACGCGCCTCGGCTGAAACATAAATGCACGCAAACTATCGCGTGACGATGAAAAACACACGAAAAGGAGACGTCTCTGACAATTGGGAAACGACTTTCCGCAAAACGATTACCGACTTCCGTTACATCGGAAGCGTATCCCCGGTGCCACTCGCGACCGGTCCTCGTTCGCGTTCCGCACGCTATCGTCATTATTCGGATACATGGTAACTGTATGCGTGCCGTTCGAACGGAACGAAACGACCACCGGTAAAAAACACGCTTACGACCATAGAGCGGATGACTTTTCGTTACGTTGCTCGTCTCCGCTCGCAGCGGTACACGTTACCGCTGTCGTTACCCGTCGCTCGGCGATACTCGAAAATTCGCCAACGCCACCAACCGGCAATTACCGTTGCTGAAATTTCGTTGAAAAATCGAATTTGCCTGGATCAGCGCGCAAGGGTCGTCCGCAATGTCCGTTAAGACGACTTTTTCGCGCACTGCTTCGATTCGCCGAATATTTCAAGCATAAATTTAAATAAACCATCTCTGACGGTAGTCCTCCGCACGGCTCGCCGACCACTCGACGGATACATATATGCATAAAATTGGCTTCGTTTGACGAGAAACGTGGCGCATTAAGGTGGCGACACGCGCGCCGTGTCGGTCAGTGGTTCGAACGACGTGCCGCGTTGCACGTAGTTTCCAGTTTTTTGTCGACGATCGCCACTTGTTCGGGACGCGAGATGCGCGAATCGCATGGCCAGTCGTACCATCTTCCTCGCGAATTGCTCATCAGATCGAGATAAAATATGAAATATAACGCGGCCATGTTTCAGGAGTTCGCCTTCGCGGTTAGACGTAGTCGGATGTTGCCACTAGTTATAACGCCACTTTCTACCGGTGAAACGCACATCGAGGACATTCAACCGAGAACATTTGCGCATCAACGATTTCGCTTGAATTTCATCCTTTGTTCTTTACGTTCGTCTGTGGAGCGTGTACGCGCCGCGGAGCCCTATACGCTCTATACAACATAACATTGATAACGCCGCTGCATCCTCGCGAGTCTAAATTGTTTGCAATGCAACATTTTATACTAATATACCGGCACTTTCTCGTGAACGATGAAAATAATTTCGTGCAAACGTATATGTAAATAGCCGAGAGGCAGAAAGATGAAACGTCATATCGATAGACGAGTTTCACTTTTGAAGAATGGAGATGACTGCTATGAAATTCTACAAATGCATAAATCGTTGCTGTTTCGTTCGAATTCTCTGCAATTCTGTAACGGGGACAAACGGAAATTTAAGATGTAAAAGAACGATGAAGCGCAGCTCTATCGCGACTGAACTAAGAGGAGAGGTGTTTAATTTATGCCTTCCGCATATCCTTTGTTCCGCGGATGAATTCGACCGCTAATAAAAAGCATCGGTCGGACATTTACGCATCGACGATTTCGCCCCTTGTTCTATTCAGACCCTCGTGTTCCTCTTTCTCGGAATCGTCATCGACGCGATACGCGCCGGAAGAAGAAAGGGAGAAAATCGCTTACGGGGAAAAGCAAAAAGCGGAAAAAACGTCAGGGCCCAGGAAAAGGAGTGGAATCTTGGCTATCTTTTTTCCTTTTTCTCTTTCCTTCCCGCCGATTACGGCTACGAGCAGTTGTTTTTTTTTCAAAATGGCCGTCTCGTACGCCGATTTTGTCGTCCTTGCACTCTGCAAACACGCCCGAAAGAAATGCTCGTTTGCAAGTATGCGAACCGTAAGGAAGAATCGAGAGATAACGACGATGCAGTGGTTTCTAATATTTTCGCCGAAATTACGATACAAATGAAAGCACCGGTGCTGTCGTGCGTCATTTTCGATTCGTACCCACGATTTTTTGTCCGTCGCGAAACTCGCTTGCGTACTCGTGCATTCAAGATGGCGGAGAGCCTGGTAGGCAAAGCAGCACAGGTACATAGTTACAGAAACGTTCAGCAGATACACATCGAACACGTCGATCTAAGAATCGGTATTTCGGAGAACGCGAAACGACTGGTAATCAGATTTTCCGACGTTTAACTACCGCAGACAAGAATCACCGTAGCATACGAAATGAAATGTAAAAAATCGAAGGGCTACGTACTTCAAGTTATGCGCGTGAGAATTATCCGTAAAAACGATATCGACCAGGATAGACAGTAGACAGGACGACGGCCCGTTGGAATCGATTAGACAGAATCGATGGAAGGATCGGAGAAAGAGAGAGAAAGTTGGGCGACCTGCGAACGAACATCCGCATAATTTCGTGCGTGTTCATCGTCGGGAAGCGGCATGCTTTAGATGGACACGCTCGATAGAGACGTAACAGGTGTGGACAGAGAGCGGGAGCGGGAGCATGGCCACACGTTCGTTAACCCTCGGACTTTTCGAGAACCAGACGCGACAACCTCTCCTTCTCGAGAGCAGCAGAGGCCAGTGAATGCGTGCAACAACTATACCGTTTGACACCTGGAGGAGTATACGGAGAACTCGCGCGCAGCGCACAATAGCCAAGCTAAAATCCCACTTTGTCCCAGGAATAATAAAGTTCCCGGTGCGGAAGGGATTCGGCAAATCGGCCGGTCGACCCCTCGAAGGTCTCTTCTCGGAACCGTGTCTTTGTTAGCTCGCCTTGCGGTTACGAAGGGGACAGCCGAACGCGTCTCAAACTGCGACCCCCTACAGCGATTTTCATCTCGTACTTCGTACCGTGTTTCTAGATTTATCGTGGAATAAACAAGCGCTTCGCAGAAACGTTATTACCGGGTGACGTGACGTGACTCGCTTGCCTCGTCGCCACACCGTACCGCGCCGCACAACGCCGCACCACACCGCGTCCCCAACAATTCCAATAACCGATCGCTTCTTCGCTCTCCTTTTTACGATTATCTCCAATGCGAATATCCTTTCCACTGGAAACCTGTTACGCTTTTGACAAACCATACGCCATTTTAGAGGACAGAGTACGCGTCTCTTCAACTTCCCAATGTTTATTCGGAAACCATTTACCAAGTCCTCTTCGTGTTTCTCTGTTCAGCCGATGTGTGCTTTGTCAAAGACGATGTTTGTTTTAAATCGAGCGTATTCTATGACAGACTAATAACCGGTTTAACGTAATGCTCTGATGATGGTTTAAACAAAAAAAAAAGAATATGCATATATGTATTCCGTAAATGTAGTAAATCAGTGAGAGCGAACAGTGGACATACTTCCAGGTATTCGTCGAGTTTGATAAAAAAAAAAAGTGGTAAGAAATTGCATCAGTCTACGCGAATGTCATTCAAATCCTGAGAGCGTGACTCAGAGCAGCCAGGACATCCAAGTAAGATCATGGGATATTCCGTTACACTTCTTCCGTCGGCGGGACTACGATTTATGTGTTTCTCGTATCTCATCGACGCGAAGATACATTAAGCTTGAAAATGAAAATAGGCCGAGTAACCTATGAGTTAATTACGATTCAAATCAATTTGACTAGACACATCGTTTAACCTTCGCTCGAGATTCCACGCGTGGCTCGTGTTTTCATCGGTTACACTCCCTCTGACAAATCTACATACGCGGTGTTCTTTCTTTTCACAATTTTCAAATTTCATTAACATTATTTTAACACCATCTTCTTAATCTTAACATTAGGAAAATAAAGTGACGCTCACCATTCGATACTCCTGTATCCTCGTAGACAACAGTGAAGCGCTTTGAACGCTCCGATGTTCGCGTACTCTGTTGTCACGACCTCCTTCGTAAACCTGAGGCCACCGGGTGGTAAATTGTCGAATTTGTGCTTGGAACAGTAGTCCTTAAGTTCGTTGCCTTGACAGATCGCAGTGAGGAGCGACAAGACAAGCAGTCCTCGCTCGACCGGTGTCGTCATCTTCAGATCTCGACGAAAAACCAATTTACCAGGAAGCCGGGAAAACGTTTCAGATTCCGTGATTTTCGAATCCGAGAACCGCCATGACCGAGTTTCCAGGGTGAAAATTACGTCCCAACGGTCCACAGCAGACTTTTCTCCAAAAGAAAACCGATATCTCTCACTTCAGCACCGTTAACGTCCAAAGATAAATACAACGACTCCCGTCACTAAGCACGCGCCGGCGATCTTAACCGATTCGTTTGATATTTGTCGTCAAACATAAACTTTCGTCTACTCGAGAAGATTGCGTGTTTACTGGGTGGTTTCAAATGGCTTTCGCCGCGCGCTCTTTTTCTTCTTAACCGATAAATCGTTCAACCATTCAGTCACTTTCAGTGAAATCCATTCCTTTTTACACCAGCTCTATTTTCGACAAAGTCCCACGCCGATTGTACAGCTAATATCTTTCAACCTCGCACGATTACCGATAATTTCAACCAACGCGTATATACTCGCGAATGTTTTTCGTAAAGCATTGCAAGATTCAACAACGTTACGTTAAGCGTCTCGATGTTACATCAACAACACCTATCACGAGACTGCACTCAGAAATCGTAACAAATCGTAAATCGTATCGCGTGCTGTATCCTAGAAGAGGAAAAACGTTGAATATCGAATTCTAGCAGAACGATCGTAACATAACCTACGTTCAGCAACCGGTATACAACGCACCAGCGAAACACACGCTGTGAAAGCCGACGGCTTACTGCCAGCCCACTGCTTTGAAAACTCCCCGTAGGCCACGGGCCACGGGTTTAAAACGAGCCGCCTGTTGCCTCGTGCTCGTTCGGTTCAATTCGGCACTCTTCGGCCATCCTCGACGGGACACCGACTATCCGACTGTGCTACGGTCGCGTGTAACCGCCCGTTGTGTTTCTCCCAAAAGGGTACAGCCGATTCTTTTTTTTTCTATATGTGTTTCAGTAGCTTTCAAGACTACGTACATGCCACGCGAATGTTATGACACGTTTGAACTCAAATTTACACAAGCTCCGTCTATTCATCGATTCTTCGTTTAATTGAGATATGTCCGTGGGAAATAGAGGACGCTGTTCTCTGAAGCAATCGATAAATCGATACATCTCTTACAAAACTAACCTTTCAGGATCGATTTAACATAACGTTCATTAGATTCATTTTCGTCTTGCTAATCTATTTAGTCGAAGCAGATAAACCGACGATTACGTTGAAAGGAAAATGACGAATCCGCAAATTATCGAACGCATTCCCAAGGTAAGAGGAAAAAGCGTTGTACTTCACATGCCATTATTGTTTTCTTGTTACTCGTGACGATAAAATTTCCCAAAGAAGACGTCTGCGAAATTAGGACGATACCTTTGAGCGAGACTCTCGTGTTATTTACATTGCTTCTACTCGACGCCCAAAAGTAAAACGATTCGAATAGCAGGTGCATCTGTACACGCGTAGAAACAAGTAACCAAAGAATGTTCGTATTATTTTTTTTTGTAATGCAATAAAATATTTGGCAAACCAGTGTGCGTTTACAGCGTCCCTCTACTCGATCGTTCAAAGGACGCTTCGACAGATATTTGATTACGAAAGAAGTGCGATTAGAGTACAGACTTCCACGAATATGATAAACTGCAAATAAATGTATTTAACAACGCCGCGAACAGATAATTTTGCGGATAAGATTCTCTTGAAAGCAACTGGCACGTGCGATATTGTTCAACGAATTCCTGCATATTAATGATCGCTTGCGTGCATCCCGAGCTAACTTCTACATCCGCACCTTTTACACCGATATGAATTTTAAGATCATGAAAGCTCGGATCGATCTTACAAAATTACGATCGTTATTTATTTATCTATTTACAGGATAAACACTCTGGCAGAAAATAAACGTGAATGTATGTTTATATTTGTACAAAAAAGGGAAGGAAAGGAAGAGAGAATTAGACATAAACGCTTAAGCGTAAACTAAGAATGACTATAAATAATTATAATATATGTACTAATGCAAAGCAACATCTTAAGAATGCTAGGGTTTGACCAAATATGTACGTTCTGGTGGACAGATTTGGTGTAGATAGACACTCACTCCGTGCAAAATTATGTAAAAATGTTAGAATATCCATAAGTAATGTTTTGTGTGTAAAAAATGTTACTTCTGAAATATCTTAAAGGTAAATACATTTAAAGAAAATAATTGGACGGTCGCGGGACAAGATATAAAACCTTCGGTTATTTTACTCGTAAACAAGATATCAGACATTATTTTTCTATCGCTCAATGTCTGAAGATTTTAATTATTAATAACTTCTCCATAGGTGTGAGAATCGAATAGCATAGAATGACCACTATGTTTGGCAGCGAGTTACACAGTTTCGAACGTTTCAATTTGTTACTACGTTGCTTATCGTCTACGATTTGGTAGCAACGGGTACAACGTTCTTCGTACGCTCACTCGTGTACACGCGGCTGCCGCTGACTTGCATTCTGCGAATTCGAGTATGCGGTCAGTCGTTTCGTGTCGTGTGGCAACGATTATGCCGGATGATCGTAGCCAGACCCGCAGCATTTACGCGCGTACAACCACGACACATGGGAAAAACTTTTATGCGTGCCGACGATGAACGTAGTCTTTCTAGTAGAACCAGTTTTTTATTTATACCTTTAAAAACAAATCCTTTACTCTACGGTATATCGCTATCGGTTAAAACGATCGGTTAACGCGACTTCATCTCAATTCGAAAATGTAACGGAGGAGGTTGTCGGACTTTGTCCGATCGATTTCTTCGATTCTTAATTCTTATTCGCTTCTTTTGAGCAAAACGTAATTCGTTCATGCGGCGCCGTGTCTCAAAGAGAATACCCATTGACTAGATTATAGGTCGTAAACATCGAACGTTACGTGTCTCTCAACAAGTTCGAAACCAGGAGTGCTACTACGTAGCCGGTATTTTCCGTGTTGTCCACCGCGTTGTTTATCGTCCTCTGAAATTAATCTGCCTAAGTTGTCACCGTGTGGGATCGACCGTTTTCGTCCTTGACATCATCTTGTTGGAACGGTTACATTAAAACATAGCATTTAATACAGTGTATCGCGTGTAATCGGCTTTATTTTGAAATGAATCATCGAAAGATGCGCTTATCAGCAAAGATATCGAGTACGATAATAGAACTACTGTGATATCGATATGATCGCGTCCACAAGCCAGAAACATGAAAGGTTTTCGTTTGTAAATTTAGGTAAGACTCCTTTAATTATACGGCTATAAAACGGTTTTCGTAGTCGTTCTGTAAAATTTGACAAGAAGCAAACCCCTCCTGAACAGACTTCAAAGAACAGTCATGTTATCAATTAGAGTTCCGAGATCACGGTGTGCGTAACGAAATTAATCTCCCCTTAATTAATGGTGTTAAGGCGCATCCAAGCGTAGAGGCAGTACGAGTTTCCTGATTAAGACGACGATACGCATTCTGAGAAGAGACATCGAAAGAGCCGAGAAAGGCTATATGACCGGTGGGCTTTATTGAAATCTTGTACAATTAAAACAGTACAACATACGCTGCGTGTAACCGATGTTAACTCGCGTAAGGTCATAGTACCCAATCACGATGTTATTGATTCTATTTTTCATCCTGTATGTTCCCGAGTCAGAATTATCGAAGAGAGAACATTAGTTTCTCTTATATTCTATCTATCTATCTATGTATCAGCGAGTATGCTATCCTCCCTATTCATATATACTCAAGTACTTAGATTTAGTCGCGTAACGTTCTTGTACCTAAATAACGACAAACTACCTGACGGTGGTCGGACACGCGTTCTAACAACCGGTAAAGCATTTTCACGCAAGGCTGAGAGGCAACCGCGAACCTTTGTCCTCGTATATATCTCTCCGTCGTCGCTATATCGACGTTTCAACGGAAATGAGAAACGCCTCACGGTATGTTGCCCGTTTTCCTCGCTTTACCGAGAATTCGTAATTACACGGCACACACGCCACTTACAAGCGTTCCTG